CAGTGGTATGTTCTCCAAGGAGTGGACACCAAAGCATTTCTTGTCAAAAAAGGTGAAACTGAAGTGCAACTTCAGCTTTCTGCTCACCTTCTCCACTACCATGATGCATGAGCCCCAGCCTGGTCCTACAGCCTGCCCAGAGACTCCCAAAAAAGAATTTCTCATTGCTCATGTCCTGGACTTCACTCTGCCAGTGCTCTCCCTCTGAGTGGGTGCAGTGGCTGCAAGGGAGGCACAGGGGACTGGACTCCAGTCATCCATTAGAATCCAGCTCTCAAGCGATCACCATCTCCACTGGCTCCCCAACTGCATAATCCAGGTCCTGTACCATACAGTACCTCACCATCCCCTGCCACACAGCTGGAAAGGGGCTGGACACAAGCCAGCTCTGTGTCAAGGCTGCTAAGGAGCCAACCATTGCCCTCATACTCCCTAAGAAAAAACTGGCTCCTCTGCTAGGCCATCTTGAGCTCTTGCTTGTTGATTATTTGTGGCACTGATGATCTGTGCATAACTGTATCTTACAAAAACCCCAACAACAGCCTTTGGGGGTGATGCTGCTGAGGCACCCAATGCTGCACTGCTAGTCCTCTAGCTTCACTGCTTGGTGTAGTTCCCTGGCAGAAAGCCCCAGCAAGGGGTGGCAGCTCTCGTCACCTTCCTGTCATCAATCAGGTACACACTGAAGTGGGTGGCACGAAAGATGAGAAACCTCACAGCAGCCTTTGACGCCAACCTGACCTAGGAATGAAATACTTGTTTTAACTTGAAAATGCACAGCATCCACCCCGAGCTTTCCTGCTCCATCACAGAAACAAAGGTTGGGAAAGGACTCCCAGAGCACATGCAGGCAAGTCCTGACTGCTTTGTGAATGACTCATAAGGAATACTGTAAACTGAAAGTAAATGCAACATGTTTTATTTGAGGTTGGAATAAATTACAACTGTAAAGCATATTTTATTGCTTTATAAATTGTCTGCTCTTAAAAGGCATTAATATCAAACAAAACAAAGACACATTTGATTAACAGTTCAATTCTCCTAAGCTTCATGAACAGCTCAGTAGGGGGATTTCTTTATATGATTGGCTCAGAAATCTGACTTTGACATGCATTATCATCATTCTTAAGTTTGAGTGGACTGCAGATGTGTTCATTTTCTTTAAGATACAATTTTCTCTAAAAGATCCCATTTAATACCCAGTCCTTCATTCCCTACTCATATACACATCCCACTGTTTTTGAAAAATTTGAAACATATATGGGGTTTTCTGTCCCTGCAGAAGGAGGACTTCCAAGTCCAAACCAGAAATGAGTCTGACCCCAAAACTAAGTGAAAAACAAACTCCTCCTGGTTAAGTGTGAAATCCCATGCACAAAAACGTGTCCTTTCATTCTGAAGATTCTTGCAAAAACACTTTGCGTTATCTGAACACACTGATGTGGAGAATTCATATTTTTGTTGTACAGATACTACCTGCCTGAGGCAGGTATGAATTTTGCTCATCACCTGTACAGCTCTAGGTGCAAACAGACCCAGGCAATCCAGTCTGCCCTAAGCCTGGGGGTGAGAGGATGCTCACAGGGCTGGGTGTGCTCAGCACAGGGCAGTACCCAGCCCTGAATGCGCAGACACTGTGATGGGGTTTGGCTAGCTCCAGATAGGTATGACAGGTAGAAAGGAGGCCAAAAAGTCACTTCCTCAGCCTCCTGGGGAACCACAGCTCCTGAACACCAAAAAGGGAATGAATATTCATGACCAGCTCTCATTGCACCACAAAGAAGCTTCTGCCAAGGTATCCTGTCCCATTTGGACCTCTTGCACTACCAGGGCTATGTGCTCCCCATACCCTGTCCCCAGAACAGTGTCTCCCTGAGCCACTCCTGACTGGGAGCATGCACCTCTGCTAGACTGGGCCCAAACCAGCACAAAATGAGCTGGACTATGCCCTGAAAAACTCTCGCGAAACAGAAACGGGGACTCCAGTCTCAACTAGCCCTTGGAACAACACAGAAAGTTTGCAGAAAATACCTCCAGGGCAGCTTCTCTTCCTGCCACAAAACTAACTTGAAAAATAACAAGCCACTAGTACAGAAATTACTTCTAAAACCAGCTCAGTATCACCCAGAAAGCTCCTGTTTAAAGAAGTGTTTCTTCTCATAGCACCCTCTAACGCTCTTGCCATGCCTACAGGAACACAAATAGCTGAGTGAAATGCTAGAGTATTTTACACTATACAGCTGAATTGGAATGGTTGTCTATTACTGGATTCAAGAAATGTATGTCAAACTTCAAAGAAAATACTATAAGATTGATCCTGGTGTTATTTCAGTTTTCATCAATATTTCATCAGTAACATATATAAATTTTGTATGTTTTATGCATCATCTCATTAAAAAAAAGAGCAAACAAACTTTCTTCTACTAAACATAGTTTTCTCAGAAGAGATTTGTTTAGTGCCATAAGGAATATCCAGCTTTGATCTCTGTAAGGCATACAGCAGATTTCAGGTCCTGCACTTGCCTATAATGGCTCCCAGCAAGTCAAAGGACAGGGCAGAGCTTTGATGGGATATTTGGAGCTGTGCCAAACTGGGCCAATTCTTCAGCACTTTTGAGTATCCCACTCATTCAGGGAGTGGATAACACTGGTTTAGTTCCCACCCACATGTTAAAGTGCTTAATGGAGAGGTGGGGAACAGCAATGCCCCTTCCTCAACCTCAGGTCCCAGCCCGGGAAAGGCTTGTGAAAAGGTGGCTCTGTGGCAGCCTTGTGCTAGCAGGATGCACTGCAGCTGGGACAAGGGTATGTTCATGGTGTGCCCTGATTCATCTCATCTTAGAGGAACATCAATCAGAAACCTGCAAGCTTTTACACTCATCAGTCATCTCAGTTATGCTCACTGAGAACAGATTCTTGGCTGACTTCTTTTTTCCTTAGCAGTTATGAATTTTGCTTTGAAGATGAGAAGGGGGAAAGCTCACCTTCAGGGAGAGGGACAAGCACAGACATTTGCAAATTAAAATGCATACACATGTCAGCCACCCCAGCAGTGACCTCCACTGTGCTTTACAACACAACATCTTATTATCTTGAACCTTAATTTTTCAGCCCTTTCAAAGGTTCCTAGGAGCATTCCTTTTTGTATCAGTGAGATGTCTCAGAAGGCTCTACGGAAAAAAATTAATGAAAGGAACCAACAGTTGTCACCAGGGTAAGTTACAGGGAAACATTCAAGCCACAGACTCTGGAGAGAGCAGACTTGCTCCATTTTCAGGTGTAAATGCCATACCAAGCAGCAAGCTGAGCACACTGAGAAGGAATATGAGCTGATGGTTAGTGCACTGGACTGGGATTTGGTAGGACTTAACTCACCTTTCTCTTATTCTTGAAGCAACCAGAAAAAAGAAACAGTTTCTATTAACATCAGGGTGCTCAAACATTTCCAGCTCAGCAAATGCCCCTAAAATATTTCTCCTCTCCAAACAGCTCTTAGCAGTTTATGCACTGCCTCTCTGACTAAGAACACCAGACAGAAATCTTGTAAGGAATCACATTTCTGGGAAAAAAAAAAAAAAGAACCAACTAACTTCAGGATTGCTACATCTCGACTAAGGCTCATTTACCCATCTGTAAAGCCTCTTACCTCTCTGGATCTTCACTCCTAAGCTGCCCATTCACCATGCACTTGCAGTCAGAGAGAACAGGAGCTCTTAAATAAATTCACATCTTTATTTCTAATTCTCCAGCTTTTGCATTCAGCAAGGCACTCAGGCCAGCACTGTCTCAGGCAGTTCTGTTAAAGCACCTTCTGACTGATTGGAGACCTGAACTGAAAAGCTAATGGGACAATCAGTGAGTGCATCTGAAAGCAAGGCTGTTAACCAGTGCATTTGCTCACAGGGAGGACAAGGTTCAGCCACTTCACTAAAATATGGCAGGTATATTCATTAGTGCTTACCAAATGCTCTAACTTTTCACAGACCTTTATAAATGCTGAGCATTTCATCTGGCAGGACAGCCATGTCTGAGAATTCAGCATATTGTTAGAAACTGCCATTTCCTTCTCCTACAGTCCTTCCCATCACAAAGTGTCTCATGGAACAAACAAGTGTCTATACTGTGATTATGCCAATGGAGGAACTGGGTCAGACATAGATGCCAGCTGGATCAGATCCATAGAGCAGATGAATGATTAAGTCAAGCGAAAACTAAATCACTTGATTAGCCAGGCCCAGTGCTCCATCCGCACCACCAGAGGTTACCAAGTAAGGGACATAAATAATCCCCCAAAGGAACTGATGTATCATGAAGGGCAAAGATCCTCTGAAGCTATGTGTAATGGCATAAAGTACATTACATGCTCAGCTCTGTCCCCGTTTCTCTGTCATGAGGGCAGTGGGTTGCTCAGACAGTTGTCTTCTGGTCAGCCTATTATGTTATTTCCTATGGAAGTGCAGGTAAAGGCATGTATACTATTCAGTAGTAGAACAGAAGTCTTGTTTTACATGGGCTGAGAGAATGTTTCTTATACCCAAATGAGATTTTTGCACGCATCTGCATACTCACCCAGATACTGCCCCTGCTGTGCTCCATGCCTGAGTGTCATGCCCCGTTGCTCTGCGTAGCAGGCATGTCATACGCACACAGTGACCCGGTACAAGAGCACATTCTGCAGGCCAAGTCTCAGGCAAAAATTCGCCTATAAAACCTAAGTGTGTTGGTCGTTTCTTGCAGTGAATTGGGCTTTCACTAGGAATTAACATAAGCTGTAATGACTAATCTTATACTCTGTGCACTTGCTTATTTTCTTTTCACAGTTCAACCACTTTCCTCCTTAATACTAAAACACTAAAGCCTTACATAGCGTTCAGAGCATTATTTTCTGCTGGCTGTGTTTTGCTATGCTCTAAGCCTCTGTCACAATGCATGCAAAGGATAATGGCTGAATTTGTAATGCTTTTAACTAAAAAAATACTTTTAAAAACATAAACCATAAATTATTTATTCTTCTTTGTCCATTGTTTTAAGCACTGAATCTTCTCCCAGGATTTTACACAGTTCATTCAGTCTCTGCTGCATTTTAGGAATTCCTGCAAGCTGGGATTCCAGTCTCTGTTTTTCCTCACTCAATGATAAACGGATAGCAGTGTCCAACTGCTCGAAACGCCAGCCGCCTTGTCCATCAAACTGCAGCAAGTGAGTGTGGTACTTCCTGCAGTAGAAATTAAAACATTAGTAATGGCTCAGGAAACACGGTTGTTTTTGCATGCAAATTTAGATGTATGTGTCTCTTTTCAAAGATGCCTCTCAGGAACCTGAGTTGTCCAGTTCTGGATCACTGGGTAAGACTTTTTTCCAATGACTTGTCTTCCCAGAACATCCAAATAAGGGATTTGGGTATTCCAAAGCCTGTCACCAGGACTGCCCCAGGCCGATAGTGAAATTCCGTGGGTGCCAGCTGGAAGCAATAGCACTGGTATGGGCTCCCAGCCGGGGCACTCATTGCCTCTGCAGCCCACGTGGCCAGGCTCTGAGCTCCTCACCTGCAGGGATGCTGGCAGCAGTAGGCAGCAGGACCATGGAAGGTCCACCCATCACCTGCTGTCCCTGGCCAAGGTGGTGGCCCCCTCTTACTGCCTCCATCTTAGAAACACTGTGGCTACAGCTGCCTTCACTACAACTCCATCAGATCCTTTTCCCCAGAAGCTAGAACAGCAGCATCAGACAAGGTTCATTTCTCCCTCAGGAATTCTAGTCCCAGTTTATTTTACTTACCTCCCTTTCTGATAGATGTCTTACCTCCTTAGCAGCAAATACAGTGAGGCAGGCATGATGCCCCTGATCCTACTGATAAAACTCAAGTTTGTTCAATTACACCCGAGTTTGTTCCCCTGTGTCTTATAAGGTGGGCTAAAGGTAACTTCACTCCTAAAACATGGTTCAGTTTGCAAGGGACCAAAATAAAAAAGTCTGTGTAGGAGTCATAGATCTTTCAGTGAGTATCAGGGTGTGTGCATTGAAAATATTCAAAGGTGTACATGTGGAGTTTGTCAAGACCTGACAAAACATTTTTCAGGAGGTGCCAGAGGAAGAGCAGAGAGCTCTCAGAACTGCTGGAATGACTGTGGAATTTATCACTATAAATTTTAGAAGGTAAAATGCATCATAAAACACTGATTATAAATCCAATCCAGGGAATGTGACAGCTTTAATAAACTCAATGGCTTATGACATGGGACTGAAAAGAGACTCATCTCCAGTCTGACATTCACCACTTCTTGCATATTATCCTTTGTGATACCAAATGCTTAACCCATCCTTCTACTTCTGCCCCACCAAACTCCCAAAAATCAAGAAGCTAAATGCTGCAGGTAGAGGACACAATTGTTAAAAAAGGAGACATAGTATTCCTACGGAAGAACAAAGTATAATTTAAACACTTGCCATGTTTCCCATCTTTTCCCTGCAGTGGTAAACTTCCCCAGGACACCTCATGTATATCTTGTCACCTCTACAGAATAACCTGGTGATACCTGTTGTGTCTCTGGTATAGACTAATTAATTACCTCTTAGACATCTGCATATTAATAACTGAAATACATTAAAAAATAAGAGGGATGAATAAATACCTTTTAAAGAATGAAAAAAATTCCATGCTAAATTAATTTACATCATTACTGTTGTAGACAACTTATTTTAGAAACTGCAGTAGATATTGACTAAACAACTGTCCCAGTACAGAGAATAAAGGCCAATCCACTGCTTGTGAGAGAGCTAAAAGCAAGGACCATGATAAAGCCCTGAATATACTTACCAAAGAGAAGGTCTGTGTGTTATGGAAAGCAGGGATATCCCAGCAGCTTTTGCAGCTTGGAATATCTTTCCTTCAACATCAATGCTTACAGCACTCGTACATTCATCCAACAATGCATATTTCGGCCTTTTAAAAGCAGATAAAGAACATTACTCTTCTAGGTTATGGACAGTATTCCCATGTACAAGGTTTAATTGAAAGAACAACAGGAAGTAGAGAGCTATTTTTGCCAGACAGCTGGAAGCTGGCTAGAAACAACATGAAGTTTCCATGCATTATTCAGGTGAAAAGACAACTTCCAGGAAAAAATGGGCTTTATTTGCTGGCCCATTTGAGTACACAGTGATCTAACTTCTATGTCCTAGTCTGACCTAGCATTATTTTGTACTCATCAAGTAATGCAGTAGCTAAAGCCAACTCGAAACATCCTATCCACTGCTATGTAAGGACTGGGCTGCCTTTGCGTGCTTGCAGTCTTCAAAAGGTTAAGGAGCTTGGCTTTCAAACTCCCAGAGCTTCTTGCAATAGTCCATCACACTTCAGCAGCATTTGTAGGAGGGAAGATGTTTGTGCCCAAGATGTTAAAGAAAGAAATATCTGAAAAAGATAATGCTATGTTGCCAAAAGCAAAGCTTAAAAAGCATTATCCAAACCAAAGGCAGAGCTTTTATGAATAAACAAAAAGATTTATGCAGATCCTATGCTAGACAGTGTGGCATACTGCATGCAGATTATAGTCTACTACTGCTCAAACTGTAAAAGGAACTCTGCAAAGCTCTTTCTTCTTAAAGAATGAACCATAACACTTACTTGTGGTAAAACATCCGGGCCATGCCCATCCTTTGTTTTTCTCCCCCTGATAGGACATCTTTCCAATCCATGATTGCATCCCAGCCTTTTAAAAAAAACGCAAACAAAATGAGTCAGGACAAAATAAGTTTATGAAGGAAATGAAGCTTCACTTGCAACATCTCTGCAATCTGTAACCAAAATCATAAACAGCATTTCAGCTGCAGAAGAGACAGCTCACACTACTGAATCACATCTTCTGAAATACTTAAATGCCTGTCCACTGGCAATCAGCTGGAAAAATGTCCCTTATATCGTGACAATTTTGAAAGTGGAATTTAGACTTTTTGGTCATATAGATATTGTCAAAAAATTTTACTTACCATCTCTTTGAAAAAAAACTTCTCTGACCTGTATACGACTAGTAATTTTATTCTGTCATATTTGTTTCATGGAACAATTCTCTATTTTTTCTTGAAAGGTATGAGTAAATTTAAACGCAAAGTAAAATAAATGAAGTGTAAAAAATGAAGACCGGTGTCAGACTGCATTCACTACTGTAGGCCAAGAAAACTGTCAGCAAACCCAACAGAAACACAACTGCAGACATAGGGATGTATCTTTGCCCTAAACCAGAACAAATAAGATATTCTTATTTAATATTCTCCCTGCATTCTCTAACTGATTTATTTCTTTATCACTTTCAGGTACTTTTCAGGTATCACTTTCAGGAGTGTGAAGCATTTTATCTGTGATCTTAGAGCAGACTGGAGTTCTGTGAGTACTTGGGCATGATTAATTCCTCCTACTGAAAAAATAAAGTAACTAATTACCTTACTGAAAATAAGTTTTCAGCTGAACAATCCAGATGGATAAAGTAGCACAATAGACAAGTTTTCAAAAAGAAGAGTGTAGATGTAGCAATAAATCTGACAAGACATTTTCTCAACAGATGATCTATTCATGAGACAAGCAGCTGAAGTGGGGCTGAGAGGAAGAGAACATCTTTTTCAGATCAGCCCCAGAAATACTGTAACTAAAAAGTTAATACCACAGCCAAAACCCCTTTTCTGCTAGTGCCAAATTTAAAATAAATATTTGCCAGAAAAGATTATAAATGAGATAAAGCAAGGAAGGTGGGCTGTGTTATTTCTGATACCTGAACAAATGTGAAACAATGGGGCTTGTGAAGGTGCAGGAGGCTTGGTACAGCTCTGCCTGTGCTTGGTGCTACACCAGGGCTTGGCAGGACTGAACAAAACATCAATGAAACAGCTGATGAAGGGCTGTATAACCAAAAACAGTAATTGATCATGATAGAGACTAAATTTCAAGATCTTGCTCTACATAAAATTAGAAAATATAATGTAATGATTTAAAAATAAATATTTATAAAGTTTAGACTTAAAAAACAGGCATATGCAAGAAAGACATCACCTTTAGTGATCCTATAGTTTCTCCCTTTTCTCCTTTCATTCTTGTTTAAGGATGCCAGTGGGTACCCTCCCAGGAGCACATACAGTGCTTTCTATCAGCAGGCTCCCAACAAAGATGGAGCTGTGTAGTGATTAACTGAATCACCATTTGGATATACTCTGGTAAAGGGAACAGATACACACAGGCTGCTCTTGCTGAGCAGTCCCAGTGCTGGGACCTCACACAGAGAGCTGGAGTGCTGTTCCACCAACACCTTAAGCTTCCAAAAAGCACTGTAAAGCACCTGGAGCACTCCCTTTTGGCAAAGGATTCTAGCAAGGGATGGGATCTGTTCTTCAAAAAAGCCATAGATACAACTATGCTTCTGAAGACAACATTCAAGCTGCTGCTTATGTTCTGTTATTTTTAAGCTGAGAATACAGATGAGCTTCAGGACCTGGATCTGAGCTAAGGTGTGGGTGGGTGTGCATGTGTGCACATGTGCCTGGGGAAGCAATGCCTGTGTTCATACAGTTTCCTCCTGATCAGCTGGTTTATAAAGGCTTATTAAAAGACAAAAAAAGAATGACGGTCAAAAAGCAGCATCCTCTTGTCAGCAAAATAATTCTATTATTTACTCTAAAGGTAAAAGATGTAACCTCCATTTACCAGGATACAATGGTCTTCTCTGTGGTTACTTCAACTTATGTTCTAACTGAATATGACATGTGCATCTTGTCTCTTCCTCCCTAGCACCCTCTCTGAACTCTCCTATTTTCCACTTGGAATGCCTCTAACAACAGATAATGAAGTGTGCAATTTTATATTATCCCTTTTAAAAATTCTTTTCAAATGTCTAAATAATTTCATTAGAACACTAAGGCATTGTAACTCACACTAAACTGACTCCCCCTCTGTCTGTGAACGATAGTGCACTTGTCTCCTGTTTCTTCCTGCTGACATGGCACAGATCAGTGAAGGTACTTAAGTGTTCTGGAAATATCAGCCAAGTCAGTGGCTTAGGTCACCCATAACTACATCCATTTCAGAAATGAAGATATGAAATGGCTCGCCCATGAATGCAGCACAAATCTCTCAGTAAGTGCAAGCACAATCCTGGCTTTCAGAGTCCGAATTCCTTGCCCACCTTCTTGTTATGGCTTTTGCAGCCAGTAAGACAAAGAGCATGTTTAATGCTCATGTTGGGGCACAGTAACAGCAGCAGAAATACATACAGCTGCCAGCAAAAACTAGTGATAGCTTCAGATAGCAGCATTTCATTTTCTTGCATGGCGTCTTTTGTAATTCCTTTAATCTCCCTTTTCTGAAGAAAAATGCGAGCTGTATCTGGCAAAACCCAAATGGGTTACTCCTGGGATCCATAGCCCTCTGTATCCTTCGTCTTTGTGAATCCTTGCATTTTCATGCAAGACTAAGCATTCAGCTGCCATGAAAAGATAAGCTTAAAAGCTTCTTTTTCAGATCTACATTCCAATGCACCTTATCAGACAGTGGCTGAAGGACAGAAGAAAGGCTAGCACAGTAGACTGCAGCCACAGTGCCCGCCTGTGCTTTTGGGCATGGAAGCCTCTTTCACAGCTTATGTAAAGAGAGCCCAGTGCTGCGCAGGACGAATATGCAAAGGACAACCCGGAGCTGAGCAAGGAACAAAGAGACCATCGATTGCATGAGCCCCAGCTCAGCATGACACTGCAGGGATTTGTGTCTCTGGATTTCAGAGGCACTGGAAAAGTCGGCAGAGCTCTCCAGAGTTCCTGCTGGTACCAGTAACAAAAGCAAATCCAGGCCTAAAGCGATCAGATGAAATAATCTGAGACAGGAAATGGGTTTGTCCATCTGTTTACACGTGGCCTAGCACACTGGCTCCCTGGACAACACCCAAAGATATGACAAATGCTCAAAATAATGAGGAACAATTATAATCTGGAGTGCTGAGAAACCATAAACAGGTTGAACTTGCTCAGTAATGTCATCAGCCCCAACCGGACAGGCTCAGTCACGTGGAGGCAGCTCCGTGGCCTCATGGCTCCTCTCGTGTGACAGCCTAGGGCTGCATCTCCACTGACACCTGCTAAATACACACAGATTTTCAAAGCAGGAAATACTTTATGTATATGTACTGCATATCTCCATGCTTTTAGACCCCATTTCTGGACATGCTTTTTCACCACACACACTGAGTACTACCTTCATTTTCTACAAAATTATGGTTCTGGTAGAGCTAACAACTTTGCAGATGTTGATGGGGGCACCTTAGAGATAATAAAAAGGTAAGTAACAAAACAGCATTCGTCTAATATCCAGGTGGTGAGAGGAGTATTATTGTGGGCCTCAGTGGAAAGGGAGCTCTGCCCCCAGCAGCAAGGGGGGCTACTATCAACAGACACTGCACTGTGCTCTTCAAGGGCTTGGACTCAGGAACATCAAGAACAGTGGTGCTGGGGAGGCGGATTGTTGTTTTAGTGGATTTTATATATTCTGTTGATACCGACTGAAAAATGTTTCACGAGGGTAACACAAAAGCTAAATGCCAAGCTAGGCTATTTATTTGACTTACTTCTAACTGGGTCAAACCTTAATGCTAGAAAAAGAGGAACTTCTGTCATTGGCAGCAGCAGAAACAACATCAGACGTAATACTTGGAATGCAATGATCCTTGTACTGTTGCAATGTGGAAGTAATTCAGCTAAAAACAGTAACGTCATGCCAGAACAAATAATTTGAGTCAAAGTTGTGCACCTCTGCCTTCATCTGGCTTTTTCATAACTGCCCACAAGGAGCAGAACACAAAACTGCGAAGCATCAGATTATACACACATTACATTCATGATCAATTAAAGCACAAGAGGTTTATATGAGATTTTTCATTATTTCAGAAAGAAAAAAGTTCAATTCTTAATAAAAATATTTTTAGTTTAAAAATATGATTTTAAGCAAAATAATAAAATAAAAATTGGAATTAAAAATATTAGTCTATGTATAAAAATAAAATGTCAACTGTTTACTTTCAGGAAGTCTTTCTCTGTCTTGTTGGTTCAAAAAACCCCAGAGTCTTTGTCGCAGACCAGGGCAGCTTTAAAAAATATCTAAGCATATGAAATCCATGTAGCGTGTCAAATCATATGTCACGGATTTCCTCTCTGCTCCTACCTTGGCACTTGTCTCCTGTAAATGCCCAAGAAGAAAAGGGAACAAGTAAGTATATTATGGTCCTAAGAACTTCCTGGTATGTGGTAATCTCTCTCCCTGTTTTCCAGCTTTGCCCACTTCTGTCACTTTAGATCACAAAGCACCTAAGACACATTTTTTCCCAACATTTGTTTGTGCAACTTTTGCACAGTGTGCCCTTATCCTGAGCTTCAATACAGCATGAGTGAATACTAACAGTGTCCTCTAGACTTTGTAATAGATTGTGTTTGTTGTGCATGTGCAGTCAGACAGGCAGAAGAGCAAGAACAGGGTCAGCAATAAACACTTTCCTCAGCACGGAAAGCAGCATGAGACTGATCCAAACCTGGGGTTTCAGTGATTGGAGCCAAGGCATCTTGGACATGAAGAACAGTGACTGCCCCATGAGCAGTGACATGCTCCAGCTGCAGGGTCAGAAACCACAACCATGTGCACTCAGCTGGGTGGGTGGCTTTGGCCACCAAGGATCATGTGCTGTGCAGTCCAACCACAAGTACCAGCACAAAGTGAATGCACACACTCCACAGTGACTTCTTGCCACTGATAATTTAACTGCTCCTCCTTTTCTAGCTGCCAATTCCAGCATTCCTGCTTGTTCTTCTGCAATCTGGGCACCTCACTTAGTGAAGTGAGTGACTCAGGAATACCAACAGGAATAGTTGTAGTGTCAGTGTAGGAAGGAGAGGCCTTCTCTGCAATTGTTCCAGTCACTGAGCTTAGCTCTGCCTACTTTTTCTTGTGTTATAGGATCAGATTTGAATAATAACATGAATCAGAAGGATGGCAGATTCTTATTTTCTATTGTAACAGTCATTATTACTTTCTTAACAAGGAAGCTTTAACCCATAGTGGAGAAGTATCTTTAGGTATACAATTGTTGTATACCTAAATGATTTTTTAAATGATTACTACTTTCCACTCTAAAATGTGCAGAAAAGACTCTGAAGTATCCACACATACTTTAAAAAAAAAGACAGCTTCTTCCTCTTTAACAGAACAACTGGCTGCCTCCAGGAAGGGGAATTCAGACATTGTCTTGGGATTCCCAGTGGTTGAAGCACTACTCTGTGTCATCAGAACGATCCTGAGACTCACAGAGCACACACAAGGCAAAGTACCTGATCAAAACCAGTACTGACAGCTGGCAAAGAAAGGCAGGGTACATTCATCATACCACTTAAAGGGGTCTGAAGATCCTTTTTCTTCTCTCTAAATGTTATCAACTTTGTCCTATGTCTATTTTAAAAACATAATAATGGGGAGGAAATTGAAATTAGTGATTAGCATCTGATAGGAACAAAAGGATAAAAATTACTGCAGTGTTTGGGGGAAAAAAGCCATTAAATGCTCCCGTTCCTTAGAAACAAAAGAAGCCTTTAGCATCTTGACATATATAGTGCCAGCATATATATATATATATACACATTATCCCCAACTTTGAGGACAAAAAACACTGACAACACAGGGCAACTTAAACAGCAAGCAGTAGATGGCAACATTCTACTGCCAGCCAGTGTTGACACTTCTCATAGCATAGTCCTGCTGATCTCACAAACTAGGGAGGTAAAAGCAGATCTGACTCTCTCTTCATTCACATGCTTTCAAGTTGATGTAGTCAGTGACATTACAATGTTTTAAGACATGTTACAGATTTTATGAAGATGAAGGACGGTAAATGATCCCACAATACCAGGAAAAGACTGGCCATCACAAGATAGTGAGGATGTTCAGTTTGGGCATGCATTTACTGAGGAGAGGAGGAGCACTCAGCTCTTCTCCCTCTGTTAGCATCAGAAGCAACAACTATGTGTCTGTGAAGCTCCCACAACCATGAAGATCTGAATCCAATTTTGCCAGTTCGGTTAGTGAAGTTCAGTCACACTAAGACACACATGCAAGGAGTGGATTTTGTGAAGTTCTTAACAAAAATATGCAATTTACCTCCTTCTCTTTGAACTATGTGGTACAGATGAACCATATGCAGAATAGACTCCAGATCTTGATCTTGGTAGCCTTTCTCATGCATGTCTTCCACCGAGTCTGGATAGATGACTTGATCTCGTAGTGTTCCAATGGACATGTAGGGCCTGAGGAACAATACAGGGAAACTGGTAATCTGAGGATGGCTCAAGTGAGCACATCTTGCTGATGCTCTATGAACAGAGTATAAGGCTTTAAACACTACGTTGCTAAAACTGGATTTATCCAGCGGGTGCACTGTGGGTGAACATTTTTCTAAACTTACCTTAGGGTCAATGTATTGTTTCTGTAACAGTTGATTATATGGTAACAACAAGGGTAGTGTTAGCATGGAAACACAATGACAGGCAGAATAAATATCCACTTCATAGCCCATTTTGAAAGCTTTCACTTGGAAACAGCAGACCTATCCTGTATTCAAGGTTTGGTACTCTTAAGAGGTTTAGAAACTGACTTAAACATACACATGTTAAAATCAAGTTGTAACAAAAACATTGCAGCTTAAACTGGTAAAGAATTCCATGGTGCAGCAGGAGACACACAAGAGAATTGTAGACTTTCTTTGCACTGAAAACACTCTTTCTTTACTATTCTGGAGTGCAGAATTTGGGCATAACTTAGCTGGCTCTAGAAGCCAGTGCATCACATCTGAATTGCAAAGTAGCACACATTAAAGGGGTTGGTCACCTTAAACTTCCCAGCACCAGCCTCCCTTTGCCAAGTACAAGGCTGTGCTGTATGCGAAGCAGCTTCTTAGTCACCGTATTTCCAGACCAGGTAATACCATCTGTCTTACTAAAATATGCTGTCTCCAATGTGAAGCCAGAGTTCCCATAGCTGGGGAACGGCTATGGCAAATTGCCACAATGTCATGAGCTGTGCCCAGCCTCTGGTACAGCCCAGGACCCAAAAATCCTCCTAGTCTCAAAATAAAGAAAACTGAAAGAATAGTTTCACAGCTCTCTAGAAGAGATCAGGCCATTCCGGTTAAGACAGCAAAGGCAGCCTAAAACACATCTACTTGACCATTTCCTTTGCTGGTCTAAGGATTTCTTGTGAAGGACAAATATCCATCCTGTCTCACAGACACTGCTGGTAGCTATAGGAAATTGGAAACACCACAGGAACAGTCTGTGGGATTTTGAGTTTGGAAGGAAAGTCAGAGCCAAAGAACAGTCAGGCTCCAGACTCTGTCCTGCTTTCTGTGCCAAGTGTTCCACAACTCCTTCTGGGTTCATCTGCTAAAACAATACTAGTCTTATTAAAGCTGTAGTGCCAGGGGATGAAGACAGAGAGGAGCAGTCAAAACTGGGCCAGCAATGAGGAAGCTTCCAGGCAGCTTGCTCTTGCCACCAAGAACCGCTTCTAACTACTTCACAGTGTGTTAAAAAGCAGTCAGTTTTCTTCCCTAAAAAGCTCTGTACCTGCATGGTGGGAAGGTCCCAGCCATGCAGAGGCTTTGCCTGGTAGAGATGTATAATACCTCAGCAGATTTCTTCCCTTCCCTTGGAAGTATCTGCAGAAGGGTGGATCTATCCATTGTTATTCCGAGTCCCTAAAATACACCATAGAGTAATGTGAAGGAACTCACAGTGCAACAAATGAAGAATTACAGAACTAAAGCTGCCATATAAACTAAAATTCACATGCAAGCTGGCATCAGCTGCATTGGTTTTAATGCTGCAAACATCCATGGTGAACTGTCTGTACCAGTCTGTGGTTAAACTACTTTCACCACTAACTGGGTGAGGATGGGAAGGGCAGGAGATCTGTACTCTTTGAAAATATTTTGGTCATCTCTATGTTGTGGCAAGCACACAGATGGAGCAAAACCAGAACCACGAGTCAAATACAGGCACTGCTTGCTCCTCATTGCTTATCGTTCTGCTCTCTGCTTATTGTGGCAATAGTACTGCCCTGGGCTGCTGCATCACCAAGTGCACTGAACCACTTACATTAATTGTGATATTGCAAAATCTCAACTCTGAACATGAAGTAACTTCATGAAGTAATAAACTTTTACATATCCACAATGCTCTCCATCTAAAATTCCAAAGGCCTTGACATCTTGCATGTGTAGAAATCACTTCACTTGCTCCAGACTGCTGCCACCTCTGGGACAGAAGAGCAACTCCACCAGGGCTCAGAAAGGTTTAAATCAGTGGGTAAGACTGTGTAATTTAGGTGAAGCTGCAGGTAGGGCAAGGAGGACAGAGTTACCTATCATATAATTTGTCTGGAGTTTAATACCTTACTCTTGTGAAGTATGATCCTGTAATGACTAGCAGCTCTGAGATTTAACCTGTGGCAAAACAGGGAAAGCAATGCTCAAACATCCTGTGCCAGGACACTTGGTGCCATGCTGTTTACTGAGTCACCAGCACTGCTTCCTGACACAGCTGGATTTTCCCTCTGGCCTCCCAGCTAAACACACCAGTACTACCAAGCATGCCTCTCCCCACCTAGTCTGTAAAAATTACAGAAAAGCCCAGCTGACAGTGGAGTAACAAACCCCATCAACTACTAACTAGCAGAAAATAAGAATGGCTTAGAAGGAAACTACTGTTAAGAGGCAGGAACCATGTGTCCAAAGAGAGAGTTACTGGAAAGAGCCTAATTATATACTGTAACAGTCAGAGTCTTCAACTGGAAGGAGGGAGTCTTTAATACCAGTCTTTTTTTCCCCAACGCTCTCTAAGATAAAATCCAGTAACTACCCTAACCCTTCAGTAGCATTGTAAATACATTTAAAGGGGGTTCTAATCTTATTTAGGTGCCTGTCCTCAGGAAGGATAAATGGGTTTAACATTTAGCTCTCAGTTTGGCACCTAAGCTGCAGTAAGTGGCAGAAGATCACACACACATTTATACGTAGAGATTCCTATAGGTTAACTCTAGGTGGCTCCCTTTACCTACTACATAGATATTTTGGACCATTTTCCAAAAACTCGAAATCTCTGCCTGACCATCTAGGGGATGTCCCCGTATTTGAATTTTCTACCACCTTGCTTGCCAAGATCATAATTTTATGAGCTGCTATACTTTGATTGGAATGACTTCAGCAAAACTCCAGCTATTGCAATGCTCCAGTTTTCACCAACAGAAAATCTTTATCATCAGTGATCAACAAGAAACAACAGCATCCACTAATTAAAGTAACTGAATTCTTAATAATTCTTCGATGACATTAATAAAATAAACAGGAAAAAAAGATGGCACCACTACTACAAATTTGAGAAAATGTCTTGAATGAATGTGAATTAAGTTCTTTTTAAGTAGTGTTGTATCCACTGCTCTCAAACAGAAGGTGCTATCACCAAATAGTTAAACAATAAATAATATTTATCAAATTTTAAAAAACAATAACAGGCTGTTTCTTTATCACACTGTGTCTAGTTCAAGGGATTTTAGGGCCAGCTAAAGTTTCAGTAACTGTTCTAAATAAATAAATAATTGATCTGTCTTTAAACTACCCTACACTGAACTTTGCTCTCCACTCATACAGAACTGGCCACAAACATCTTCTAAATATTTCAGATAGATCAGTTACCTAGTGGAAAATCTTACCAGAGCACTAAAGACCATAATGCCAAGGAATATAGTTAACAGGAAATGAAATGCACAGTATGAAAGGCTGAATTCACAATGCATAGAATAATTAGAATCTGGTATCAAAGGGTGAAAAAATCACATTAATCACTCAGTGGATTTTTCGTTTTGGTTTTTTTGTTTTGTTTTTCTTGCCAAAAATCTGTGCACATTTCTACCAGAAAACAATTTAGGAAAAAATAATAACCTGAAAGGTAAAAGAAGCCTTTAAAGTGCTATTCATACTCAGGTTTCATCTCACCTCATGATTTTTCACTATTACCAGTATCACAGACAGAATATTACTAGAACTGGTCAGATGGCAAAAAAATGTTTAAGGCGAGCAATTCACACAATTACTCTGTTCAGTCTATTTGTATCTTGTGATAGGAAGAGAACACACAAAAAGGCACTTATAATTAAAATCAAACCCCAAACAATTTCTACAGAATTTTAGCAGCTAATGTATTCTGAAATAACTATACCACCTGCAACGAATCAATCAAATGAAGAGAAAATACTCTCCATTTCTTAAACTACCTCTGGCAGTACTGTTGATAGAAGGATTATCTGGATGGATGATCATGAAGATCAATGAACTCAAGAAAGAACAATGAGCTGTTCTGGACAAGATTCTAACCTGTCAGTCCCACCAGGCATACTCCAGCCTAGGAAGTGTTTCTGAGTTTTATCACAGCAGTGTAACACAATGAGCAAGGCAGTTTCCCTCTTCTAGAATGATCCCAAATTATTCACAGTTTTGTAGATGAGGAGTGACACCTTATTTCACAGGGAAGAAGAAGTGTAGACAGCCTCTAGAACAAAGGCTGTTTTTTCTCTGGATTTCTACAGTTCTTAGTTGTCCATAGCATAACTTTTTCCATGCACTGTGACATGAATACACAAGTATTCATAGAGCAGTAGTGTGTCTGCAGTGAAACACCTGCCAACAAGTGAGAAGCCACACACTGCACTGACTTCCTTCTCTTATCTGCTGTGTAACACTGCATTACACTGGACAGAACATGACAGACAGAATAGAGAAACACCATGTATATGGATACATGGAACATTATTATAGACATTTTATAAGCATTATTGGTATGTGACACAGCTCTTCAAGAGAGCTGCAGTAATAAGCAGAAACTGAGTTGATAGGGTATAATTAATGCAAGATGTTAGGCAAATAACCAAGCCTGGAAAAGTCTTTCCTCTTGGGAAGGCCCTCTAAGCTAGGTAGGTGCACACATGATGAACTGAAGAAAAAAATCCCACCTGCCACATTTTCCCATGAGACCATGGCATAATGGCTAAAGAACAATGAAGTGAAAACCCATTGTTGTGGGGACTACTCTGCATTGTCAGCAGAGAAGAGTCACCTCACCTAGAAGTTACTCATGTAAGCCTGAGTTAGTTACCCCTGGCCCTCTTTGTAGTCAATGGTGTCCTCTAGTGAACTGGTCCTAGGACACAGGCCAAGCAGCTGCAGTGACCCCAGCTGCAAGACTGCTGCTCATGA